CCCAGCAATTACCAACTTATTTATAGTTGATGAGCCTTCATTAGCTTTTGTTGGGTGGCATAATAATACAAAATAAATCATATATTTTTCCAACAGTGATTAAATAATATTAGTATAAATTTTAAGGAATAATTAAAAATCTGGATTGTTACATATATATATATAACAAAAAAAATTGTAAATTTTGTAAATAGCTTACAACTTTTTAAAATAAAAATTAACAAGAAATCTTTTTTTTTTAACAATTTTTAGATTTTTCGTAAACATAAATTCAAAATTCAAATACAACCTACCACTCAATTTCAAGAATCACATTTATCTTGATTTTAACTACTTATGCAATGACACGAACGTCGCTAATTTTTTCAGTTTTTAGTGACAAATTCAAAAATCGTCATAGAAAACGTTACTAATTATTAATTTTTAGCGACAAATTTAGAAAATCGTCATAAAAAACCTGTAACGCCCCCAAAATAATTACAATAATCCAACTCCAACCACTAGTACAAAGTGATATAGATAAACTACGAAACTTTCAATTATCAAAGTGAATGTACAAAAGGTGACACATGCGATATACATTCATAAATCGTTCAACCTGAATCTACAGCATGCGTTACAAGACAAAATAAAGAATGAAAACTAAACATGTATTTATATGCCCTAAAGGCTTACATCTTTCCAAGATCGTGCTTGGTGTAGACACCCCATTTTTGACCACCCGTAAAACTTAGGCGTTTGGTTCAGTGCACTCGATGATGAAAACTGCATTATGTGATTCGAGTTCTCGGCGAAGGAATCCAAAGTCGAGTCCCGAAATAATCCCAAAACCTTCCTCAATTGCCTTATTTTTACCTTAGAGGTTCATTTTTGAATATTGTGCCACTTTACACTGAGTTTGAAATAGGGGAATATGCCAGCACATTAGGGCCCGACATGCCCCATTGAGAGCCAGCCGTGGCCATTTGGGCCCGGCCGTGCCTTGCTGGCGATAAATACTGTTCTGGACGAGAGCTCGCCAGCTGTCTTTTTTTTGAAGATATTTTCGACCTTTTTTGCTCAAATTCTATAAAAACGAGGTTATATCTCTGTTTTGAGGGTTGAACAATTCCTAAAGAACCTATACACACAAGAGAGGGCTTCTTTTTCCTATACAAGTTACCTTTGAGCAAACCTATCTCTTTTGACTAATATCCATACACCATATACCACCTTAGATCATAACATTAGAGCCTTGGTTGAGGCTTGTGCATCGCAATTCAAGCTTGATAATGTGCTTGCACCAAGTTTGTGTTACAAACAAGAGCTTGCTTCTTTTGAGAGGTGTAAGCTTACCACCTTCTCTCTTACTTATTTTTCTATCTCTTGTTAGCTACTTCTTGTGTTTTTGTGTTGTCTTGAATCCTTTTCAAGTGTTTAAACTTGGGTTTGGATAGCTACCAAAGGGTAGAGAGGGTTAACATCTTCTCTTGCACCTTATTTCATAGCTCAAGCCCTTCTTTTTACACTCTTTTCTTTAGTTCTTAAACTAATTTTCAGAGGTTAAAAAGGGTTGGAAAACATGGTTTAAGGTCTTAAAAAGTGGAGGGGTTGGCCACCTCTCCTTGTCTTTGTTTACTAGTTTGTGTCTCATTGCTTTTGTCTATCTTTTTGTGTACTTTTAACACACTTTTAGCCACTAATTTTTTTTTTAATGTTTTGGGGCTATTTAGGGCTGTTCTAATTTAGTAAATTAGTTTATGCTCTGAATATTTGCTTGTTGTATTGTGAGTCCTCATAGCTTCGGTTGTTTAGGCCTTAAACACCGAGTTGTTTGAGTTGATAGCTTTCTTCATTTCAAAGGTCTCATTTTAATAATCAATCTAGCATTCATTTCTATAACCTCCCTCTTTTCTTATTTTTTTTCTTTTGTTGGAGAGTCATTTCAATCGGTTGATGGTTATTCAAAGCATGAGCTAGAGACCTATGCTCAATGGATTAATCTCTATGGAGGTTCACCGTCAAGGACATGGTCCCTCTTTCATGTTTAGGAGTACCTCTCGCTTGACGTTCTTCTCATTTAGTAGACTTAATTATCATTTTGGACAAAGGGATTAAGGAATGGCAAGGACTATTAAAATTGACTAAAAATTGGACTAACCAACATAAAGAAAATAAATAAGGTTGCATGGGTTCGACCAGACGTTATGCCGAGTCTATTGTGTCAAGAGTCATCACACATTAATTCATAGTGTTTTGACGTCCCTCGAAGCGTCTCTACTTCCCTTTTTGAGTTCACTCCGTGATAAGAGGGAAGGGTGAGTGTTATTCATTGCATTCATTGATTTTTGTCCAAACCATGGCCGAAATCATCAAGAAAGCAACTTGCTCATTGATGGTTTTGGAAATGACTTCGTCCTTCTCTTAAGGCTTTCAATGACAGAGAAGTGTAAGAGGGACAAACAGAGCTCAGAAAAAACTTTGCCTGCACTGTTTTTACCTTAGAGCACAAAAACATGGTTTTGCACAAAATTAGGGCACAACCAGCCTTATTTGGGCCGGGCTGGCCTTCAATATTTGGTACACAGTGTGTTTTTGCAAAAATAGAGGACAGTGGCTGAAGGTGAAACAAGGCAGATTCCAAGGAAGGCAGGCAGAGCTGCTTCTGAAACCATCACGTGCATGCCATCCTTGTTCTTCCTTTTTAAATTGTAAATTAATGCTCTCATCATTAATGTAATTATTGTAGTACCCTTGTTGTAATAACTTAGAAAGCTTTAGTTCAATTAATTCATTTGTTTGATGTTGTAATAGTTAGTTTAATTCGGACATTCAGACACTCATTCAGACCCTCTTGTATGAGGGAAAATATGTAATAACGGTATATGTCTTCCAACCTCATTTCTTTCTCCTTTTTATTTACCCGCTTATAATAGTAGTGTAGAGCATCATATTTAATTAGCATTCTCATGTTTGCATACACTCGTCTCACCTACATTTGGGTTCGGCTTATCATTCTAACCAAGCATTGTTATTGCTTAAATTATTTGAATACGTGCTTAGACCACATGCTATCAAATTGATTCAAATACTATGTTAGTAGCTGAACCCATTAATTGCATAAATTGTATGTGTTGCATTAGTTAGGATCACGCATGTTTTCTAACTCTTTTATCTTTTTGGCTTGCCTCAGAGTACTAGGTGAGCATTTAATTACTTTAGCATACCGCATGCGTGTGATTGTTACCATGTCATCAAAGCATGATTCCATGAGGCTAAGTGCTTAAATGATATACTTGTTTGAATGCTCATGGATGAAGGCTAATTGCTAAAATTGGGATAAATTGATTAATGTACATACAAACTCACTTTTCAAGTGACGTGTATTTCAAATGATTTTCAAACAAACATGAAATCAAATGTTCCAACTTTTGCAATTTTGTCTATACTTATGTGCAACACCTAGTAATGTTAGCCTAAATAATTGGAACAAGAGCCTATAATGTACATAAAAACCACATCATGATTAGTAGAGGCCGATCTTTGATCGGGCGAGTGGTGGTGTTCAATTCGTGACATTCCTCTCTTGTACCTAAGTTCCCGAGTCGAGACACTTTGGTGATGACGGATAAGTAGCCTTTGGCACGAGTCACGAGTTTTCTAAATTTTTCAAAAATATTTAGGTGGCGAATCTGTAATATGGAAAAGCAGTCCATTTTTGGCATTTGATTCAAAATCGATTTTTCAAAAGAATTGCCAGATTTAGACTCTTTTGTGTTTTTTCTATTTCACATTGTACTCATGAAATCAGATTCAGAACCATGAGAGTCCGAACTGTAGACCTAATTGTATCCGAAAGGCACAAGAAAAGAATGCTACAGTTGGTTATAACAAAATAAGTCATAAGCTCAGTACAAATAAAGCCCTAGGCTTGTACAAAAGTAAGTACAAAATAAACAAAAGTGAGCCTTCAGTTCTACAATCCTCCCAAGTTAAGTCTTTGGCAGAGCATATCACCAGCACCTGAAAATGTTTTTCCCAAGTAGGGTGAGCCAAAGCTCAGTGGAAATAATCTAGCACAATATATGAATCTTAACAAATATATAAGTATGATATGCATATACAATGCCTATAATAAAATCATTGATGTTGTTATAAGTTCATAATATACCAAGTTTCATACTCCCTCCGTCCCATAATATTAGTCCCTTATTCCATTTTTCATTGTCCCAAAATATTAGTCCCTCTTCAAAAATCAAGTACAAAAATAATATAAATTTCCCATTTTGCCCTTCTTTTAAATTCATAAATAATATAAAAAGTACAATTATGACATTGATATTCTCAAAAAAGTGTACTATCAAAGGGTAATTTTGGAAAACTAACTTTTTAAAAGTACAATAATTGTACTACCAAAAAAAGTTGGATTCCCCAAAAGGGACCATTATTTTGGGACGGAGGGAGTATATATTTGGTTTACATTTTAATTTTATTTTCTTATATTTTAATTTTCTTTTCAATTTTACAAGTATACTAACACTTTTACAAATCAAATATTCGAACTAAATGACAATAAGATGTGTGGGTCTCGTAATGGATGTGGTTTTCACACACATTGTATATTGTCTAGTTTGTATGTTTGGGTGCAAAAGTGTTACTTAGTGTTCATAAAAATAAAAAATACATAAAAATATTTTCTTTTTTTTATTTTATTTTATCTCTTCATAAACTTTTTTATCAATTCAATATTTAAACACAATTTTAATATTCCATTGGTGCAATATGCAATATGTGGAATAGGTCCTAGATATCAGGAACATCAATGATGAGTTTGATAAGAGTTTTTTCTTTTTGTTCTTCTTTGATTTTTGTTGTGTTTGGAGATCAGATCTAGGCCCATCAAAGACTTTCTTACACGTTTTCATTCAAATTCAGTCCAACACATCAAACCATTTCTACAAAATCATTCATTGTAAGTCAGAAAATTTATAGCAAAAGAACAAAACAGTTCACCAGAGTAATGAAATTACAAGCAAAGACGCAATTCATTCAATATCTCAATAGACAACCAATTTGATTACAAATTAATATTCCCTTACCAATTTCTCATACAGAGTTTAACTACGAACACAAAAATCAAATAAATCCATAAGGATTTTACAGAAAATGTTGTTGGTACCAGATTCAATTCTAAAAAATTTTATCGATTCATACATATTCCGTGACTGATTTATGTGTTCAGATACTTATTATTCTCCTAATAATCATACTGATTCACCCTAATTAACCAATTTTAACAATCTTCTTGATGATGATGATGATGCTGATCAGTACTGAAAGATATCAGCAGCAGCCATGATGGGTTGTTGATTAAGATACATCAAGTTCCAAGAATTGTTCATGAAACTATCGGGACTGGGCTCAAAACCCCGAGTCTCAAACACACCATTGTTGGTGTTCATGTAATTCAAGATATCATTGAGAGACTGCAATCTCTGGCTAAGTTCATCCATCTGAGCTCTCAAAACAGAGTTCTCTGCCTCAACATTGAGGTAGTGCTGAGTGGTGATGCTCACACTTGTGTTGATCTGATTGTTTTCTTTCCTCAGCTGAGCAACCTGGTTAACCAGATCATTCAAATGCTTCTGTTTTCGCATGCGAGAACGCCTCGCCGATTCCCGATTCGATTCCATCCTCTTCCTCTTCCTCTGATCCATCTTACCTTGCAAGTGCTCTTCAGAGCCAGAGTGGCTCTGAATCTGTGTAGACCCTGAAGAATTTCCACTTGAAGAAGCCATTTGGTATATTTTACACCAAACCAAAGATCTTACTACTAATTTTACAGCAAAATTAAAAATAAAATATAGTGCGCAGGACCCAGATACTAGTTATATCTAGATAGATTTAGGTACATATATAAATATATATATAT